AATTGTGGACCCCTAGATACGGGAAGAGATAATATTTATATTACAACAGCAAATGTTTTAGTTTTCAGGGTTAAAAAAAGTAATTTTAACTACTTTAAAAAGGATAGATAGTGCTTATGTTTTTACCTTCATCTGCTTCCTAACTATGACAGAGAGAAGCAGTCTGGCTAATTATTTTAGACTAAAGTTCCTGGATCATTTTCAAAGGCAATTCTTATGCATCTCACATAGCAGTGGATAATTTCCCAGCAGATTATAAGAGCATTAGCAGGAACATCAAAATCAACCATAGATTTTGCTGAGATAGATTATCAACTTCTTTGCTTAGGCAAAAGATTAACACATTTATCTACATTTATTTGGTGAATGGAAACCATTATGGATTTTTTTGAATTTTTTAAAAAAACTGAACTTTTCATTGATCACTTTGTTAATCTGCATAATCTTCAAAGCTGTAAATCACAGGTTTATTTGTTAATTTTTATCCAAAAAGTCCATAAAGGATATCAAATAAATGTAGCATAGGATTATAAAAAGAAGGACAATTAATCAATGGAACAGCTTGCCTTCAGAAGTTGTGGATGCACCATCACTGGAGGTTTTTTTAAAAAAGAGACTGGACAGCCATTTGTCTCAAATTGTATAGGGTCTCCTGCTTGAGCAGGGGGTTGGACTAGAACAGAGACCCCAACCTTTTGGGCACCAGGGACCGGTTCCATGGAGAGAGGTTTTTCCACGGACTAGAGAGTGCATGGTTTTGTGTGCTGCCTACATCCCGTGGATGGGACTTTGCTTGGTTATGCGGCCTGGTTTCTGGCATGACATAGCCCGGTGCCGGTCCACAGATGGGGGGTTGGGGACCCCTGGACTAGAAGACCTCCAAGGTCCCTTCCATTCTGATGGATTGAAGGGAGGGGAGAAGCACATTCAGATTTGCAAGATTCTATTACTGCAACCTTATACTAAAATTGTTATTAGCGTTCATAACTTTGGCTTCCTGGTCTGGATTACTTTGAAGGGCTGCTTGATATTTAATTGGCTCAGGACGAACCATTACACTCAGTGGCTAAGCAAGGATTTGAACCACAATTTCCCAAGTTCTCAGTGTCTTCCTATCTACACAATCTGATTGAGTTTATGCTTATCTCACAGTGCATGGTCCTAATTGTCTTTATTGGTCAGAAACAACAGAAGGTACCACAGCAGAATATATAAATTAGAATACATGAATCCATAACTATCTTCACTATTTCATGGTTGTCGCCCAAACAAGAGGAAGGCTACAGCCGTTCCATCCTGAAGAAGAGAAAGTTCTCAAGAAGACTGGGAGCAGTTCCAAGAAGCTTATTGTTGTAACTTTGTGTAAAACTAAGACCAAAAAGATTGTTTCCTTCATCGGGAGGAGCTCTGGTAGGTTTGGGGAATGTTATGGGTCTGGTACATAGGAAAGCTGGCAGGACTGATGTTCCTTTGTTGTAAGCAATAACAAAGCTGCAGGAGAGACACAAGGAAACAAGATATGGGTGAGGCTGAGGGTAAAACAGAAACGAAAATATATACAATTCACATACTGTATCAATCACAACTCTTCTGCAAATACGGCTGGTTTCTCTCAAACAGGGTAGGCAACCTTGGCTCTTTTATGAGTCGTGGACATCAACCAGACAAGAGGAATAATCCCAGTATAGATCAATATAGAACAGGGGTCTTCAAACTTGGCCCTTTTATGACTTGTGAACTTCAACTCCCAGAATTCCTCAGCCAGCATGCCTGGCTGAGGAATCCTGGGAGATGAAGTCTACAAGTCATAAAAGGACCATGTTTGAAGATCCCTGGTATAGAATAAGAAGCTGTTGGGCCATTTTAGAAGAATGGGCTTCTACTGCTCCTCCAGAGTGTCACAATATTCCCTGCTTTTCAGCTGAATCAAAAGTATTCAGTCTACCTGTAAGACCTGGTCAATCCTCAATAGGATTAGAACTCAACATGGCAGGTGCGCTAGTCTCCTCCATAAATGGGGAAAGCTCTGCTATTCAGAATGGAGCTGTGATGCTCCAAAGCAGACAGTGTGACATATTGTAGAACAGTGCCCTCTGAGCGCATATCAGGAAAGCCCCAGAGACTATACTAGGGATAGGCAACCTTGGCTCTTTTATGACTCGTGGACTTCAACTCCCAGCATGGCTGGCTCAGGAACTCTGGGAGTTGAAGTCCACGAGTCATAAAAGAGCCAAGGTTGCCTACCCCTGACCTATGTTTTAGTTTCTCATATAGTGATCCTCCTGGTGGAAAAGCAGGATAAATTGATCCTGGGGAGATCACAGATACAGGTAGGTTTGAAGAACCTTGTCACAGGTCAGTTATAGTTTGTGAACTTTCTTCTGTGCTGCTCCCAAGCTCCAGAGTTACGTTCAGTCTGCCCTTTCTATGTCCTTGCAAGGAATTAAGATACCTTTCTGCTATGCTGCTCCCAAGCTACCGGTAGAATTGTCAAAAGAGCTGGGGGGAAAATGGAATCATTCAACACCACAACTTTCAGTTTCCAAAAGAGCTTTGCTTGTAATCATAAACTGTTTGTAATCATAAACTCTTCCCCTTGGGATGTTGCAACAGGGCATTGCGTGCCAAAACAACTAGACACAGAGACAGCTTTTTCCCCCTCATGCCATCACTCTACTGAACACCTAATTCCCACAGCACTATCTCATGTCTAAGTATATTTACCCATATTTAATAGTAATATGACTATATTACTATTATCCTTTTCATCTGTTCCACTACTTTCTCTTATTGGTATCATTATTATGATTATTGTTATTTTGTTATGATTATTATTACTTTGTTTTTTGCATGTACACTGAGAGCTTATACATCAGAGACAGATTCCATGTGTTTCTAATCACATTTGGCCAATAAACCTATTCTATTCTATTCTATTCTATTCTATTCTATTCTATTCTATTCTATTCTATTCCATTCCATTCCATTCCATTCCATTCCATTCTTTTCTATTCTATTCTATTCTATTGCCACTGCAGTATTTGGACAATTCCTAGATTTTTGGACAAAACGTGAATTGATCCTAACCTACAGTCATTTGCTGACCATTCTTTAGAAAAGATGATGATATTGATAGTGATGGTGATGGTGATGATGATGATGATGATGATGATGATGATGATGATAGCTTCATTTCATTTCTAACAGACAGTAAGTGTTGTGGCTACTCATCAAGTTTTTTCTTTTCTTAATTGAAATACTTCTTATGCCTTCCATTAGAATCAAAACTTTAAAAAGTCTCACTGGACCACTCAGAGTCGATTCCAGAGGCCGTGCCACATGACAAAATCATGGAAAACAGGTTGTTCCCCCAGCTGCAAACCCCAAAAGCCTCCTTCATATCCAGTTGTGCCCCTTTTCCAGCTCTTGAACAGAAATTTCCCCAAGTCCCCCATTTCTTACCAAGAAACTGAGGCAAAGCATTAAAAGAACAGCTGCAACGCAGACTACACAAATCAGAATAATAATCCAGTAGGTGAGATCAGCTTTATCTCCAGGTTGGAGGGAAACTATGAGGAAGAGAAAAGGTTTCTGAATTTAGTAAATAACATTATGAAGATGTTAGGATAAGGAGATACATAGCAAGTATTTTCTTCCTGTCTATATTGGGGATATATATCTGGAGTTCTTGGAATAAAAACAACTGAATCCGAGTCAGCTGTGTGAATGGCTACAGAAAAGGCAAAGTAATTCCAAGCTACATCAACAAAAATGTATTTGTCAAATTATTGACAAAATGATGGAACTTGTAGAGATGGCTAAATTAACTGCTTTGGTTAGAGAAAGAACATTTTCTACATTTATGGTTGACTGGAAACTCTTTATAGGCCTTTTACATAAAATAGGAAATAAAATGGATTAGAAAAAAAATGAGATTTTTTGTGTAATCATAGAATAAGATAATTTTGTAATTGCACTTATATTTGCTGCAAAAGATATTTACTACTTTTTTACTTTTTCTCCATCTTTGCTTTCATCTTCTATTTTTCTTCATTGCTTCTGCTCTTTATTAGTTTGTGTTAGTTTTTATGAGTTTTGTAAACTTTAATTAAAAAATACAAAAAATGTATTTATTTTTATTCATCACATTTCTTCTACACTGCCAATTTCACCTTAGTGATCAGGGTAGATTGGCTTTGCCAGATCAAGGGAGTAATATTTGTACTTTATTGTGCATCGGTAAGACAGCATCCCAAATATTATGTACAGTCTGAAGCACCATTTTTAACTGAGATTCAGATGAGCAGATTCAAGGAATGGCAATGAGGATGATCAGAGGACTAGAAACAAAGCCCACCAAAGACAGATTGAAATTGGTGGGAGTCAATAGAAGACAATATTTGTACCTCAGGGTTGAACTATGGTAATGAACATTTCATTACCAAACTCAGTAACATCATCAGTGCACTGATGATGTTACCTAGTTTGGTAATGAAATGTCTGCGAGAAAACAACCAAGTTCAGAGAGCACCAAGGACCCCACATTGGCGAGAAAATTTATCACTGATAGACTGGCAGAGGATGTGATAGCTGTCTTAAAAGATATGGAAGTTTGTCGTACAGAAGGTCAAGACTGTTTTTTATAGTTGTAGTCACAGAATACTTGATTTAAATCACAAATCAATTCCAGCTGAATATTGGGGGGGGAGGACCTAAATTTTCTGTAAAGGAAATTTAACAATGGAATCAAATCAGAGAAGTTGTAGGATCCTCTTTATTCAAAGGAAGCTAAAACTCCAATTGTTAGGAAACCTTAATTTGGACTTCTTCTCCTCACCCCTTCCAATACGTGGACAGAAAGTAAATTTTTATACGAGTAGTATAAGCAGCAATGTACTTTTATGGGCAATACTGCTACTTAATGAATACGGCATCACATCTGAAGGCATTTTTGTTTGGAAAGTTCAAATGTGGTGGCATAAAAAAAATAATAAACCTACCTGTGCTGTTAGATGTGGGTCCTGTGGATCCTGAACCTGAGGTTGTAATGCTGGAGCTAGGCTCGGGCAAAGGAGATACGGTGCTGCTTGAACCAGATGAACTTTGGGAAGGGTAGCCAGATAATGGGGGAACAGTGGAGAAAGCACTCACTGAAGAATTGTTTGTAGGAATGCCAATAGCGGAAGAAGATGAACCTGAGTTAGTGGAACCAGAGTTGGAAGATACACCGGGAAAAATTCCTGATGTTGGGATGCTTGTTTGGTAGTTGGTGGAACCTGGGTTCAAGGGTACTGAATTGGTCAAGCCGGGATGGGTGGACAATACTGAGCCGGTGACGCTGGGATGGGAGGAAATTGGGCCGATGGAACCAGGGTTGACAGATACACCAGAGGGAATTCCTGAGGTCGGGATGCTTGTTTGGAAATTGGTGGACCCGGGGTGCAAGGGTACTGAATTGGTCAAGCCGGGATGGGTGGACAATACTGAGCCGGTGACGCTAGGATGGGAGGAAATTGGGCCGATGGAACCAGGGTTGACAGATACACCAGAGGGAATTCCTGAGGTCGGGATGCTTGTTTGGAAATTGGTGGACCCGGGGTGCAAGGATACTGAATTGGTCAAGCCGGGATGGGTGGACAATACTGAGCCGGTGACGCTAGGATGGGAGGAAATTGGGCTGATTGAACCAGGGTTGACAGATATGCCAGAGGGAATTCCTGAAGTTGGGATGCTTGTTTGGAAGTTGGTGGACCCGGGGTGCAAGGGTACTGAATTGGTCAAGCCGGGATGGGTGGACAATACTGCACTGGTGACACTGGGATGGGAGTAAATTGGGCTGATTGAACCAGGGTTGACAGATATGCCAGAGGGAATTCCTGAGGTCGGGATGCTTGTTTGGAAGTTGGTGGAACCTGGGTTCAAGGGTATTGAATTGGTCAAGCCAGGATGGATGGAAAATGCTGAGCCGGTGACGCTGGGATGGGAGTAAATTGGGCTGATTGAACCAGGGTTGACAGAGTTGGAAGAGATACCAGAGGAAATTCCTGAAGTAGGAATGCTTGTTTGGAAGCTGGTGGAACCTGGATTCAAGGGCAGTGAATTGGTCAAACCAGGATGAGTGGACAATACTGAGCCGGTGACGCTGGGATGGGAGGAAATTGGGCTGATTGAACCAGGATTGACAGATACGCCAGAGGAAATTCCTGAGGTTGGGATGTTTGTTTTGATAGAGTTAAGGTGAGTAGCTGTTGGGCCGCTGGAGCTTGGGTTGATGGGTAATACTGAGCCGGTGGGGGAACTGAAAGATGTGCTCAAGGTCCTGCTTGATAAAGTTGTTTCAGGACTTTTTGTTGGACTGGCAAGAGATGAGCCTGAATATGGAGAAAATAGAAACATTTAGAAATAAGCAGTACTATTGTTTAGATGATGCAGGCATATGCCATCATAGCAGGCCTCAGAAGAGGAATCCCTGGCTATGTGAGGGAGAAAGAGGCCTACCTCTGCTAAGATGAGATAGCCTGAACAGACGGTCTTCAACTTATGACCACAATTGAGCCCAACATTTCTGTTGTTAACTGAGATATTTGTTAAGTTAATTTTGCCCCATTATACGACCTTTCTTGCCGCAGTTATTAACTAAATCACTGCAGTTGATAAGTTAGTAACATGATTGTTAAGTGAATCTGGCTTCCCCATTGACTTTGCTTGTTAGAAGGTCACAAAAGGTAATCACATGACCCCAGGATACTGCAATCGTCATAAATATGAGTTAGTTGCCAAGCGTTTGAATTTTGATCACATGATCATGGGGATGCTGCAAAAGTCGTAACTGTGAAAAATGGTCATAAGTCACATTTTTCAATGCTGTTATAACTTTGAACAGTCACTAAATGAACTGTTGCAAGTCCAGGACTACCTGTATAGTTTTTTTTAAAAAAAAAGGTGTATTTAGGAATATATTCCATATTGATACATCTGCTGTTTAATCTGGGGTTTTAAAAAAATCAATCTAAAATGATTTAACTCATCAATTAATACTACTTTTGATAATCTAATGGTTATAGCAATAGCAATAGCATCTAGGGATATATACTGTCCTACAGCACTTTATAGAATTCTCTGGGAAGTTTACAATGTCAGCATTATTTACATATTGCCCCCAAACAATCTGGGAAGCATGGAAGACTGAGTCAACCTTGAGCCAGTCAGGATTGAACTCCAGGCGGTGGGCAGAGTTTGCCTGCAATAGGGCACCTTAATCACTGCACCACCGGGGGTCCTATATTGGTGCATGTATTGGATTATGACTCAAGTTTCAGTCCACACCCAGCCCATTGCTATGGCGTTCATATTTTTCAGTACTGCCTCCTCCTCTTCCACCTCCTCCCTTTATTGGTCACCCAACTCCAGTAGGATGTTGTTTGGAGGATAAAGATAATGAATTGAATATAATGAATTGACATAAATCAATGATCAAATAATACAACCATAGTTTAAATTACATTGATCTGAACTTCACTGAACAGTGTATCCTACGGGATAGAATACAGCCAGAAGGGCTCAGTCAGGCTTCAAATTTGATTCTCAAAAAATGAAGCTATGTAAATATACCATCTATTTTTCTCTCTCTCTCTCTCTCTCTGAAATGGCCTTATTTTAACCCAGATTGAACTTAGCAGCCCCAATATAAATAGTGTTTTGACATTCAAATTATGCCAAGCACACAATTATTCTAGTACAGACTTTGAATTATGATGTTTAGCCTCAGAACAGTCCCTGGACAGTCCAAATCAAAATTTCCCCATATACATTAGACTGCAAGTCGTCATTCTTCCCCTCCTGGCATTTACTAGAAGGCTTTGGACTCTAGTTCCTCACATATCCAATTAATCAAATTCTGAGTTCTATAGAATCAAAATATCTAGAGTGGATCACGATGGGAAAGTTGCATAGCTGAATCTGAGAGTGATACAAGGGGATTTTTGAACTAAAATAGTTGAGATGCTGCCTAGTCATTTTCTACTTCCAAATTTCCCATGTCCAACAGGCCAATCTAAAAGATGAATGTAAGGAAGATGGATTAAATAAAATTCCAGTCATAGCCAAGAAGAGGTCTTCCACACGTTTGGGTCTCCAAATTGTAGAAACATGAAATTGCATTCAACTGCATCTACTTACAGTAATCATATTTCAGGTAAGTTTGGGAAGATGGTGGGAATAGAAGAGAGAATAACAGAGTTGAAAGGGACCTTGGAGGTCTTTTAGTCCAACCCTCTGCTCAAGCAGGAGATCCTATACCATCCAGACAAATAGCTATCCAAATTCTTCTTAAAAACCTCCAGTAATGGGACACCCACAGCTTCTGAAAGCAATCCAATCCACTGATTAATTGTTCTTACTGTTAGGAACTTTCTCCTTAGTTGTAGGTTGGATCTCTCTTTGATAAGCTCCCATCTGTTACTTCTTGTCCTGCCTTCAGGTGTTTTGGAGAATAGGTCGACTCCCTCTTCTCTGTGACAGCCCCTCAGATATTAGAAGACTGCTATAGGCTGGCACATTCAGTCATAAGGATCAGAACTCAGTTCAGTTATGAATATCTGAATTGGAATGTACCAATACCTGCTATGTAATTTTTTAGGTTTGTTAGAGCATGCACAGCCTTGTGCTGAGATAACCCAGGAGTAAACAGTGGTCTATATTAAATGGTGGTTTATCTTACACTATCTATCATACATCAGGAACAATATACATACACGTGTTAATACAGCAGGTTCCAACACACAGCAGTTACAGCAGGAAACGGAAGAGAGAGAACACAGCAGCGGACCCTTCCCTTTTATACAAAGCTCTTAAAGAGACACAGACCCTGCTTGCTCTTAAAGAGACACAGACCCTGCTGAGTCATTCCCATCATTACATCTTACATCTTACATTACATCAGCTGGTTAGTTGTTAAATCATGACCTTGACAAGGTTTTTTTTCCCTCTAACTGCAAAAATAGCCTTCTGTTTTTTTTGCCACGTTCTCACAAATAGCCTTCTATTTTTCTTCTGGTATTTGGGAATTCCTTTCAATTTGCATATAGTCATACAACCCAGAGAAAAATCACCACACACGCCAGCCATCTGAACTTCATCAAAATTCTCTTCTCCCTCAAACTACATTTATAAAGTATATTAAAGGTACAGTAAAGGTAAAGGCTTTCCCTGTCCAATTGTGTCCAATTTTAGGAGGTACATGCTCATCTCTGTTTCTTAGCCAAGTGAGCCATGTCATCCAAAGATATTTCCATGGTCGTGTGGCTGGCATGATTATATGCTAAGGTGCAAGGAACGCTGCTACCTTCCCACCGAAGTGGTACCAATTTATCTACTTGCATCTGAATGCTTTCGAACAGGAGCTCAGGCAAGAAATGGGAGCTCACCCTGCTGTGCTACGCTGGGGTCTTGAATCTGGTCTGCCAGTTTTCCAGCTGATAAGCTCAGTGTCTTTAACTGCTGAGCCATTGTGCCCCCATTGAGCATATTATCTTTCACCAAATGGAATAAGTTAGAACTTCCCCCTTGTTTTTTTTCTTTCTTGAGACGATGATCCTGAGTCTCCTACCCTCCAACTGATATTATCTCTGAGATCAAACTTCCATTGAGAGGAGGGAGGAAGGAGGGGAAAGTTTTTGCAGTCTCCGCCCTTGATCTCCATTTCTCCCCATGGAACTTTAACTCTTTATCCGTAGGGATGATAAGCAAAGGACCTGCTCTCTACGTGACTTGAAGAAGGGAAGGCAAAAACTCCTTACCTGTCAAGTGAAGGCACAAGGGCAATATAATCCATAAGAGATGCTTAAGTCTTGGTGCCCAGATGTCCATTGTGGCTATACCAGGTCTAGTCAAGAGTGATAGTTCCTGGAAGGACTCTTCCTACTTTTTATAGCTAGTTACCAAATGAGAAACCTTTATCTGGAACCTGCAGGCATAATTATTCAACAGTCATATCTATAATAGTGGGTGAGGGCAACTAGGCCTTTTTGGATCAGGAAGGTGTGTCACAGTTTATTCAAGTTAATGGACCCACAGAACAAGGGCAGGGCTGAGTATGAGTGCTTCAAAGAGCGAATGTGATTAATCTCCACTTCACTCTTTCATGACGAAGATGCAGAAACATTCCTCTTGACAAAAAGGACAGATTAGTGGCTTAGCTTCCTAAAGCTAAGAAAATCTTCAGACATAACTAACATAAACACATGCATAATAGATATAAGCTCATGAGAAATAATCTCAGAGGCCTCAACCAATACAAGCTACATACCAGGGTGAAGGAGCCATCAGAAGAGAGAAGTGAATAACTTAGCAAGATTGAACGCTAGGCAAATCTATTTTGTTCTTAGTTTCATTGCCAGTATCATTTCCACATGAGCTCATTATTTCTGTTTCACATTCACATGTATTTGTGCACCCAACAGTATCCAGGGGTGAATAAAAAAAGAAATCAGTTTTGGGTGTGTCACATTCTTCACACACATATGAGAAGGTTTCGATCCTGTAGTAATCCTTGCCAACTTGACTTCCTGTGGATGATCCTATGACCCCCTGTGTATATCTCAAATAATCTGCTTTACCTCTGGATTCCTTTAGACTCCAGGTGGAAATTAAATTTCCATGGAATTGTGATCCTATTCATGCTACAAACTTTTGGTGTAATTTTAAACTGGTTTCCACACGGTCAAATGCTTTCCACATAGAAGTTTCGGATTCTTGGCTGTAATAATGAATAATGAATTCCATAATAATGAATAATGAATTCCAAAATAAAGATAAAGCATATTCCAAGCAAGGCAATATTTATTAAGTTCTGAAACGAATAAGAGCATCAAGCAAAACCAGATTGAACTCCCAAAGCTAATTAGGAGACAGGTCTTTCATATAGATTTTTTTAAAATTTATTTTACTTCATTGAAACCTAGATACTTCTCCAAGAGTGTTGAATGGGATAAAAATAAAATACAATGCAAAATAAAATACTATTTTTAAATATGTTTTGGGTATCCATATTGCAGAAATAAAGTAATTCTGGTTCTATGTTGCTAACCTAAGTTGCAGGAATATCTTGGTAAATACATTTTTAGCATGACAAATATGTTATTTCTCAGTCCTTTGCAAAAGACTTTTTGTTAAAGTGCTTACCCCATTCCTTATGTGCCTGTAGTTTTCTACCTTATTTATGGCAGTTTGTTGTTAAACCATTTCTAACCAACTGTTATAATTCCAAGCATACATTTCTCATAACTTATAATGTCTAGAAATATTGAAGCCTATTACGGTATTCTGTTGTCTGATTTTTTTTCTAAAAACGTGCCCATGTAAACTGACTTTT